AAACCTTGGTTTACATGCAACGCCGCTTAGAATGTTTTCTCGCATAACGCATACATACATTATAATAAAACGTATTTTATAGACAATTCGATGTTTAGTACATGGTTTTAATGCTTTAAAATGGCTGTTAACGTATACGATACGTATAGTAAGAGCTCAGGAATGCAAGATACTCATAAAGAACAACGTCTTGGAACGGAACTCGTTCGTAAACCCAGAGTCGCTTAGTCTACTTTCCTTTAACACACAACAACTTACCTTTCAGTGGTTGGATCAGCGCAGTTGAGAGGGTAACGAAGCTCTATAACTTCCCCATTCTTCTCTTTTAGCTGTCCCTGGTTTTCCATGTAATACTGGACCAGCTCTGACAGAGTCGCAAACTTCTCACCTCCATACAGATCGTAGAAATCACCAGTGTTCTGAATCTTGATGTGAGTAACTTCACCATTACGCCTGAAATAAGTCACACACCGGAAACAATAAATGTGTGTTACTCTATTGAACAATGTCGTCAATTTTAACAGGAGGAAGATTGCTGTCTTCTGGGTTGTTGCGCCGAGAAGTTTACCGATGTTTCAAGGGTCCTTGCTGCCTCCATCATCAGGTCGCCCTGATCACTACACGGCGCAACAACCCAGAAGACGGCCACCTTCAGACTCACCGCCACGAAAACCTCAAATCCTACAATTTAAAGAGGCAAACAACAAAATTGGGTATACGGACTACAATCTCGGACACCAACATTCTTTGCTGAAATGGTTTCCAAACTGTGCACAAGCATTCTTCACCAAATTTCAATACAGTGACTGAAGCAAGATTAAAACGAGTAGGGCATTTTCAAGACCACGCTGTCAATTTCTTAAAAAGCTCTGAAATAACGCAAATAAAATAAAGGGAATTTAAAAAGTATATTTTATACACTTACAATCGGCAATTCGTTGGTCCCCGCGATTGACTGAGATTCTTTCATGTGATTGATCTGTACAGTCATCTCTGCTGTTATGCGATAGTTGCATTCATGTAAGACGCCGACCTATAGAAAATCGCGTAGTAAAAATAACCCCGGTACCTCCGCAGAGATTAAATTAGTCCTTTGAAAGTTTAAAGCGCCAGGAATGAGCAAACTCGCATATGCAAAAGTTTGCATTTCACAAACAGCTTTTACCGATTCATCGATCTCATTGGAGCAAAATCCCGTTAACGAAACACGTAATTGCAGAGATGACTGTATTTATAATTTTTATTCAAAATCAGCGATGTAAGAATTACGATTTAGTATAAGAATCAGTACGAGAAACATTGTAAAACGTTATAAATAATAGTAAAATATATTTATTTCACTTTTTGACTTGCTGGTTTCAAAATCGGCGCAAATCGAGGGCTACCTGTATACTCCTGCGAGCAAATATACAGGTCCTCCAAATAGATGGTACTTGAGGTTACATACGAAATGCAACAAAATATGGACGTCCTGTATTGCATATCTCCACTGCAGAAGTGGGGGGAGGGGAAAGGACAGTTACTGAAAGTGCCCATAAGCCATGCTTAAAAAAAGCAAACTGCTTATTTATTATAATGTTACTTGAGGCTGGGTGGGCCCCGGAGCCGGTTTGGACGCAGAGACTAGAGGAAAAAAAAAAAAATTCTCGGCCCCCGTCGGGGATCGAACCCCGGCCGTCCAGCCCGTAGCTAGTCACTATACTGACTGAGCTATCCCGGCTCATATAATGTTATTATGAATATATATTTAAATTGTTCACTGTTCTACCACATACGTCCATAAAGCTGCAGTGATTGCATTAAAGAGATGTCAAATAATGAAACAGTGCTGGAAATAAGCAAAGTCCTAACCATCTGACCTTCAGTTATCCGACATTCCATGCAAACGTCCATTAATATTTTTTTAAAAAATAAACTCTTAACTAACTGAGTATCTAGACGGCCTAGGGACTCCGAACCTTCATCACCAAATTAACCAGCGCCCTCCACCGGCCCCTACCCCGTGCCAGCAAAATCCGATTGCAAAAAATAAACTCTTTAATTTATAAATTTCCATGATGTTGAATACTGATTTTGTTCGTGTAAGATTTTCTTCAATTCATGCTGTATTGTATTTTCGTCATAATTAATATAAAAAATTTAGTTAAAAACTGAGTTGGCATTTAACTTCATCTTTTTCATTAATTTTCTGTATTATCTGACAATTTCAATTAGGTCCGGAAATTGGGACTCTATTGTACATAACTCTTCCTGAACTGTAAATAAAGTTTTGACAGCCGAGGATCCAAGTAAAAACATGGAAGGGCATATTATATAAGATTGTATATGCCATGTCAACCCATTCATTACAACAGTGAACATATTTGTAAATTATTAACTTATTTTAAAAGATACAAATAAATACACCCACAGAAATAACAACTTACAGTTTATTTCCATTCAACAGGCATTACCAATTTTTCTTCAAAAAATCCCATTTCCTCTAATGTATAAATAATAATATTAAAAATGTCCTCGCATAATACAAAACTCCACTATGACAAAAAAACATACAAAATTTGGGAATGTAATGTCACTTATGATAACCTACGACTTGCTTACATTCAGAGGTTGATAATCCAAGTTCAGCATTTCTTGACATTAAGACTACGAGGTGCGATCGGAAAGTTTCTAGACTGCGCCTATAAAAACCCGTACACTTATCTCAGGTATTAAATTCATCCATCACCCTCGAAGTAGTTCCCCTGGGAGTGAACACAACGATTCCAGCGCCGCTGCCAAGCCTGGAAGCATCCCTGGAAATCTTTCTTTGTCAGCCTGTCAAGCACCATCTGCGATTCTGCCTGAATCTCTTCTATCGTCTCAAATCTCCTTCCCTTTAGCTGAATTTTCATCTTTGGGAAGAGGAAGAAGTCACACGGAGCTAAATCCGGCGAATAAGGAGGGTGCAGGATGACGGCCATGGTGTTTGAGGCCAAAAACTGCCGAACTGCTTCTGGTCCTCAGACAGGAGCCTTGGCACAAACTTGGCTGCGATGCG